CACTGCGTTCAGAATTGGTAGATGAGGGAAAGAGAGCAATCTCTGCAGAATCTAAGTCAGATGAGTTTCAGGCTCAGTTATATTCTTGCTTGACTTTCAAATGCTGGTACAGAGTGCAAACCCATTTCTATTCTACTCTCTGTTTTCACCCTTTTGGAGCTTCAAACTTGCGACATTTAAGATGTGGAAAATCCTTTTACCAGCTCCCACGGGAATGTGCATCTGTATATATTCATCTTAAAAGTTTCAACTGAAAGCTTAGCGGTTTTTGAAGTCAGTAACCATATGGCTAAAACAAAAGAGTAAACATTAACTGTTTCCCATGGACTTAATCACCTCAAAGTAATTTGCTGTCTGAGTATAGGTTTACAGAAATATTAATGCTGTTTTTCATTTGGTGCATTTTCTATAACAAAAATAGATGCCATTTTAGAGTACCCCTTTGTTTCTGGCTGAACTTTGTAGAGCGCGTTCCTAAGTACAGTGTATGTATTGTATCCCTTATGCATACGGGAAGCAGTTCGTCATGATTGGTGACTCCACACTTGGTATTCACGACCACATGCCAGCCCACAGACTGGCAGTTCTGCAGCTCTGAAGTTCCCGTAGGTGTTTGAAATCCAGTGCCGAGCTGTCAGGATGGCTTCAGTCTCTGGACTCTTCTCTCACTACTGATTTTGTTTGTCCAAGTGATCCTTTCTTGTACCACCCAAATGTAGCTCCCACAAATCCAAGTTCTTCAGTTGGTGATCTCAGACACTGCATTGGCCCAGAACAAGGCTATAAAGACACTCATTAGTCCAGTCAGCTCTTCTCTGGTCAGTCCCAAGAGAGAGGGACTATGTCACTATGCCTGAGAAGCCCCTTGGTAGCCACAGGGCCTGGACAAGCCCCTTGCTGGCTGGAAATGGTTCCACCACAAGCACAGCAGTGCAGTCGCTGAACATTTACTCGCTGTAAAGTTCTTGTATGCTTAATATCCTATCATGGAAAGGAGATTTCTATATGCAAGAATTATTAGCATTAGGGTAGGAATGTATGTTTAAGTTTTCCTTGTGCACCATGTGCAAATGTGTTAACTTACCCGCCCTTCCAGTTGTTTTTTTTACTGTTTCTATTTAAGCAAAGTTTTATACACCTATACAGGACAGCATTACATTTCTGTTTGATGTAATACTGTCTCTCATTCATATCAGTGCTGAACCCACTCCCCTGCTTCACCCTGCGTTCTTCATAATAACAGCACTCTCCACAGAAGCCCAGAAAATGTCTGTTTTAAGTGAAGTTATTGTCCCTTTAATGACCACAGGAATATCCACAGCATTTTAAGTATTGCCTTGGGAAATCTGTTCTGCCCACCCTAAGTAGCTGTCTGTCATAAATATATCTGCTCACGATATGCATTATATAAATAAAACTGTACAGGCAGAATGTTTCTCAATCACAAGAAAGGCTCTACACCCACTATCCAGAGCGCATATACTTTGTAAGCATTGGTTTCCAACAGATAAATGTAATCAAGGTTTATATGCTCACAGAAGCCAACAGGATGGGATTGTTTCACTCGAAAGATCAGAAGAAAATTGTAACTAATGTTGTGGAAAATTACTTTGGTATTGCTTTCTCAGTACAGCATCACAATTAGGTAGCAATGTGAAGCACAGGGAAAGAATAAATGAATAGTAACAAATCAACACAAACAGCTACTGTCAGGAGTGCTTTGCTCAGTGAAAGTAATGTAAGCATTACTTAAAGTTTTATGACTGTGGATTTTATACTGGTTTAAGTAGTACATCAAGGTCTCACCATCATGCTTGCTAGGACTAAAACAATCAAGAGCAATTTCCGGAACAGACAGATAAAGCTGAAATACCAAAGTATTTTTATTAATCTTGTTTCATAAGTTGTACTATCTTAAATTAAAGATGACTGAATGTACTAACAGTGAAAAATGCCCTTTTGGACAATGCAAAACTCTCCTATGGTGCTTTTCAGTGCAAAAGAAACATTATTGACTTTTCTGGAGTTTTCCTCAGAAGATTCTAAGCCCTGCAAATGCACTTTGCTGCACAGTAACTACATGGGAAATGCAAAACCAAAGGCTAATCCAATAAAGCTCTGCCATGAAAAATCTGTTGTCCTAAGTAGCTTAATGACACATGCATTTTTTCAATTCTATTGAGGCAGCAATCAGACAAGCAAATTATAGCAGTATCCACTCTCCATTAGAAAAAGACCCCTTTGAGGAGAAATGCTCAGATGAGGGGAAGGGAAGCATCTTTTTCACACATCAAAACATCTCTTGTGATTGACAGATTTTCACAGGAGGCTGTCTGGCAATGAAATATGCCTACTCTCTTTGTAATGAAATGAATGACTGTTTTTCCTATGTCCTTTATGCTTCCTAATATGTTTTTGTGGTAACTGGTATCATTTTCAGAAGGAGTAGAGGTGAGTTTCTGAGTCTACCATGAGCTGAAAGCACTTCATGCACATGAAAATCACCCAAACAGAAATAAGACTAATTGTATGGAGCACCTTTTACTCAAAGTTGCAGTCTGATTCCTGTTAACATAAATTGTAATTGAATGTGAGAATCAAGCAATTCATCACACACCTTTGGCAGTAACAGCATTGCTGGGATGTTCATTCTGTAGCTACAAAGAACCCTACAGACAGCTACTGAATACATCAAGGAGTGCAGCAGGGAGGGAAGGGAAGAGGACCTGAGTTCAAACTTGCCTTTATTTAAACGTGCTTGGGTGTCCCACTCAACAGTTACATCCTCTGTAATAATTTACAGTATATTACACTCAGCAGTTCAAGAGGTATGTGACAGAATAGAGTTCAGGAGTTACTGTTCTGCTTGGCTTTTGTCTTGTCATACATTCGGATAGAAGGATGTTGTTTGTGCTTGGGAGGGGAGCTAAGTGACCTAAAGAAAGGAGACTTCAGAGATTGCAAGGTAGGTAAAAGTGACCAGTGAGGGCAGGATGGGGGAGAAAGAGAACAGGATAAAAGCCTTTAGGAAAACCGGTGAAACCTGTTCAGAGAACAGGTAGCTACAGAGGGTAGCTCTTGTGCAGAAACATATTTTAAGTCCTAGCGGCTGTCTGACCAGGAGTGCTACTTTGTCTTAGAAATGGAATTTGACTCACCATCAAAACAGATCCAGCTGAGGAAACTGGAGCACTGCCTGCTTCTGCCAGGGGTTTCCCAGCCAGCAGGCTAACGTAAAATATATTTACATATGTTTTATCTATATTATACTATTTTATCTATTATCTATTATCTATTATTATACTGTTTTATCTATATTATACTATTTATCTATATTATACTATTTATGTATAAAATATGTATATTTAAAATATATATATTTAAAGAGGAAAAGATCCTTTCCCTGTCGTAAATCCTTGGGGGTTTGGGTCCCTGCCGTTACTGAAGGAGATATGATCTGATCCTATAGGATCTATCTAAATTCCATAGGTTGTGGTACAGCCACACCAAATATGTGGCCAATAACAGTATGAAGGTGAGTCTGTTCTCAGTGTAAAACCACCCCACGTTTACTAAGTGGAAAGGCAGGTCCTGCACAGTGTGCACCTCCATAGTGGAGTTATCTCAGAGATTTCTCTCTACTACACAGTTTGTGCAATCACCATTTTGGGCATTAACCGTACGAGCTGCTCCAGTGAGCTTGTATGGCTAATTTGGGATGTGTAATTTCTGATTTTTGCTTTATTTTCCTATTAACTTACAGACCTTATAGCAGTATTGATTCCAAATGAATATGCACAGTACTGTCAGTTTTAATCTGTAAATTATTTTGCAGCTAAGTATACAAAAACAAATTAGAAAAGCACTGAAGTGACTGGTTAATTCTCTGCTTTCCGTGACACATTGATGATTCATTATATCTACAGTTTCAACTGAGTGTCTGCTTTCAAAATCCGTGTGCAATTGGACTAAATAATAAACGTATTATAGATTGTTTAGTGACATGGAAATAAGTGCTTAATAAACCTGGGCACAGAAATTAGCACATAATGCAAGGACTTCTGCTAAAGTGTAATGTAATTTTGTATTTGGGTTCAGCTGCTTTAAAAATGTTACCAATATTTTATCTTGAAAATATACAGAGTCACCTTGACTGTGCAATGAAGTTGTCAGTTGAATTGACTTTTTATAAAGCACGTATTCAGTCAAAGGAGAATTTCAGTGCATATATGAGCAAACACAACGACCGAACCTCCGCGCATAGGAGTATTATTACGAGCTGAAGTAACTGTGCTGACATTTGTCTAGGCTCTGAACCAGCCTTCCCTGCAGCCTTAGTCAAAGAAAAAGTGACTGTAAGGAAATCAAGGGAAGTCTTGTGCATTTTCACACTTCTTACATGCCCACTGCTTAAAAGGAAACCACTACTTCAGCATGTAGTTTTCAGATCCTCACATGAATGTGGAGTGGGTTTTTTTGGCTTTTTACTGTTTAAAGTTACTAACATGAGAATATGGCACACTTACGAATGGAAACGGAAATATTTAATGGAAGTTATGCACATTAAAGGAATATGTCTTCAAATATTTTAAGCTTCTTGCATGACTTATTTTACGCATCTCTTGTCTTGCATCTCTATGAAACACTGAATACCGTATTCAGAGAAGGGTGTATGCAGAGTTGAACCTTGACAGAAACTCTCAGTCCCAGATTTACAGTGGTATAACTGGCAGCAGAAGTTGGTCTCCACTTTAGCAGACAATTAACTTTATCCAGCTGGACCCAGTACACCTTGGCAAGGATTCCTGCATAATCAGTCAATTGTTTCTTGGAACTGCTTTTTATACAAACTCTTTTTTTCCTTCTTTTTGTGGTCAATTAACCTCAAAATAGCCTTTATTAAAAAAAAAAAAAAAATTACTTACCTGTGTTCAAACAACCTATGTGGAAAATGTAAACATGTTAAGGGTAAAAGTCTAAAACACTGAACATGAAAGAGCGACTGAGTCAACCAGAAACAGGAGTGCTAACCTGGTGTCTGCTGATGAAATGTTTCTTCTGGATCCTGCAGGTGAATGAAGACAACAAGCCCAGCTGCTCCAAACAGCAAGATGAAGGAGAACAGACATGTCAGCCTCATAATTATTGTTCTCAGATCAATCCAGTTTGGACCCAGGAAAAGAACTGCACGCAATCTCCAGAGCGCTCTTCACTCATAGTCTCGTCCTCTCATCTGGAAGTCTGGCATAATATACCTACAAAAGGTAAAACAAAACCCTCTAAAACTTAACACTTACATTGTGTAAGGTGCATTCGTTGATTGAAGTTTTTTTTTAGATCAAACAACTGATTTCTTTAGTATTTCTTAGGTAAGTTAATTGCAGTCATCAAGTCAATTTCAGCCCAATCAGTTTGTCCTTAATTATGTGTCACTGTTTTTAACACGTTGAAAGTACAATGTAGAATATCATCAGAAATATAACTTGGGAAAAACGATCATGCCACGATGGTAATTTGCAGAAAAACCCTCTTAATAGTTTTCTTTCTTTGAGTGAATCATACATCACTTTTTATTTTGCACTGATTAAGCAATGTGAAAACGATGAAGTGAGATAATAGGGGGAAAAAAGATAAGAAGCACAGTAACTTGCATGTCAAACATGAGGAGAGTGACCAACAACTGGCAGCTGCCTACTACTTCACCCTTGAGGAAAATAGTGGGGCACTGCAGGTTGCTACACAGCCTGTTGGAAAAGCTCCATGGACCTATTGATTTCCAAAGAGAAATGCTGGTCACAGTGCTTGGGCCACCTTTCATGGGATTGCACAAAGCACCAGCAGGCAGAGTGCAGGGAGCAAGCTGGCTGGCTGCTGGAGCACTGGACACTGGAGCTGCTGCCTCTCTTCCCTAGGGAACTCTGAACTGATTTCTGGGCTCAGTTCTGCAGTTCTCACGACTGGCTGTAACACTTGCAGCTATGTGCCATTTCAACAAACAGCAGCAGCACTGGTCAGTCCTAGATGGGCACCATGTACGTGATTCTAAACCTCTGACTGCACGCACTCCTAAGGCAAATACTTTATTTTAAGCACAAAAATAGTCCCACTGGAAGCAGTATCCATTCTGGTAAGAGTTAAGAAGTGAATAGATGAAAGAATGTGAACAACAACAAAAAACATCAGCAGTGCCAGTTGTTGTATTAACTAAAAGAAATGCTTTTGTCACGCAAGTGAGCTGGCCATACATTTTTTGGTGACATGTAGGAAGGTCCATTAAAGAGCAGACACTGAAACGGGTTCCCAGCAAACATAACCTCATTTCTTACCAGCAGATTATTTACCACAAGGACCCCGGCTGGAGAACAGCAAGAGATTGCAGGAGTCACTTCGCTTTTATTGTATTTCTAATTGGAAATGTGAGCTGGGGTAAAGGTTTCTGAAGGTGGTCTTTATTTACAAAAGAGGTTTTAGGTACAGAAAGCTCGTGTTACATTAGCCTGCAGGGAGGATGGGTTGTGGAAAGGTGATGATTCAAAGTAATTATTCCAGGAAAAGTCTTTAAAGATTTCTTGATGTGCCTGGAACATTTGGTGTTAGAGGCAACTTCTTTTGCTTTTCATGGTTTCCCTAGCTGGTTTTTAATTCTCTGCAGGATATTTGTTGTCTAAATTTCTAAAATGCACCAAAAAAGAACCATTTTTGCAGTTCCAGTGAAGTCATTTTTGAAACTGACTGATAAGGTTATTTAGTGGCAACTGTGTTTGTTTATTCAGTGCATAAAGCAGCCAGAGGAAGGCTTGAGGCCAGGAACATTGATGGATGCTTGTATCTTATACGAATGCTAAGCATCACTAAGTTCTGTCTATGTGTAGGAAAATGCAGCTTTACTTTCTGTTAAAAATGGTGGCAGAAGTTAACTGTATAGTTTTAATTATTTTTCCCTTAAACGTTTTTCCCCTTTTTAAAAGTAAAACCAAGAGAAAATGAAACTACATTTTTTGGCACTAGCAAAGCTGAATCCATATGGGTCTTTGTACAACTCCATCTATATGTGTTACGTGCATGTGGATGCATGGATGGGTTTCTTTTTGCACATGCATTTATTACAAACATATATACATTGAAAGGATCAAATACTAACTCTAAAGCTCCAGTGGAGCCGGATTAGGGAAGGATTAGCCTTCAGAACAAATGTGTTATAATTCCAACCACTGCTGTTATATGCAAACGATTAGGAACTTTACCTTGAGTTTACTGCAGAAGGTGTCCATACTAAATGGTCAGAGGTTTGGATAAGTGGGTACTTAGGACCATATCACCTGTGGCAAGGCTGGTCCAACACCAAAATCAGAGCATCATTTTGTAAAACAACACAGTCAGAGCTTTCTAGGAATTGTGCTTAGTTCCCTGATATAAACACTTATCTTTTTCTAACCTACTTACGCTCTCTGCATGCCCATGGGGAGGAGAATTCTACTACCCCAGTTTTACAGGAAAAGAATCAGGTAAAGTTGTTGCCCGAGATTATACAGGAAGGCTGTGACGGAGCAGGGAATTGCAGTGTCTCCTAGCCCTGAGCTGGAGTCAGCAGTACTGCTCCTCTCTGCTGGGAGTGTGAGCTGGCAAGAAGTGCATGATCATAATTTGAAAGACAGGAGTTTAAAAATATCTATTCCCTAATAACTAAGGTTTTCTATTTGTGTAATGCTGAGTTTTAAGGTTGCTTTTTGAATGAGTTATACCCTTGAGCAAATGTGGGCTTCTAAAACAATTATTATTAGCTTAAAATGCTAGACCATTTTCACTTTATGATTTGTTGAAATGTTTTCGTTTGAAGTAAAGGCAATATCAAGAAAGAAGGTCCCTAGCCAGTTTTTAATTAGTGCAAGAAATACTACAGTAGCAGTTTTTAACAGTTATAATGTTTACATTATTCCATATCCTATAGGACATCTGTGTTCAGGATCACATAGCCTTTTAGTTTAGACACCTCATGATGCAGCAGTAATGAAGGCTAGATGGAAGCATGAATTGGCAGAAGAAAAGGTCACATGTAATGATACAACTCTACAGAAACACTACTGTCATTCCCTGTTCACTCATCTTTGCAAAGAGCGAATGGAGAGCGAGTCCAAGAACGAAAGAGAGCCTCTTGCCCCTAACAAAATTAGTATCCCTCGACAAAACACAATTTCAGAGATCTTTAAATTATGGGCCTACACTTTTCTCATCTCTATTCTTCTGTAATTATTTTGTCAATCAGTTGTTTTTAATTAACACGTCGTAGGAGAGTAAGCCTGGTGAATGGGGATGACTGTTTTATAGATGCTGAGTGCGTGCTTCGTGAGCACTGCCAGGCTGGTCAGAGAGCTGCAAGAGCAGTTGGCATCAACTGATACATGTGAATGAAGTGTCTTCATTTGGAAATACTGTCTATAGTTAGATCCCATGATTTAAAAGATAAGTTAAATACCATGATTTGAAAGATAGATCAGATTAAAAAAAATAAAGAAGGAAAAAAAAAAAAGAAAAACCTCAGTGGAGCACCAGCTAACAGTTTCTTCAGGCAGAGCCTCATCAGGCCTATGAGGGAGAAGGTTGCCCTGTGTGGGAGCTCTGGACTGGTGCACACAGAGCTCCAGAGAGTTTTGCACAGATCTGAAGCCTTCAACTCGTACTTTGCATTCGTAGTCACATTCTTCAACTGTGCTACTCACAATAGGCAAAAAGATATAATTTTTTGTAATTCTTATTAGTGTTACTGGGAGTGCAAGAAGATAAGGTTGCAAGCAGCTTCCAATCAGAACTTCATTTTCAGCTGCCGTGAACTTATTAAACAGATGGGGAGCAGTTCACCAGAACATGCCATAATGAATTGAAATATCTAACTTTTAATTTATTCTTCCTTTATACGTTTCTGCAGTGGATAAAACTCCTAGGCATCGATACGCGTTTTTCCAAGCTTTCCCATTACAATGGTATGTGAATGTTCTGCCCTTGAAAGCAGCGGAACTGTGTGTATATGCAGATAACAATTAGCACGCAGGTAGCACTTTCCAGTTCAAAGATATTCATTAATCTCCACAGCACTCATCTGAATTGTGAGGTGAGAAGTATTAGCATCAGGTAGGAGAAGCAGTGGTGCATCATGAAAACAAACCTTTTCAGGAAAAAGGCTGCACAATTTTAGATAAGAATCTTACAGATAAATCTGCGGAAAACTGTTGAATATTTTAGCAAAATATTCAGCTATCACGGCTTTTAGTTTCCAACTCACAAGGACCAGTTCCTCCTGCTCCCAGGCAATTCTGAAAACCTCTTAGAAAGACACCACAACACAGTGTGGTGGGAAAGATGCCTCATGTCAGCTGCTTAGCTGGAGCTGTGCTATTGCACGGCGTCCACTGCTGAGCCTGTCTGAGCAGGAGCTCCCTGCAGCTTCTCCTGGAAAGGTCTGTGTCATAAAAGTGAGGCCTTGGCCTCCTGGCAAAGCTATTTTTGTTTAGATGGAAGTTAAAATGAACATTTTAATTTAAATCTTCTAAGGAGAGTGACACGGAAAGCAGTACTTCAGAGACTTCCTTTTTTGCAATTGCCCTCTGGACGCCTCATGGCTAAACATCTTTACTGCAAGTAATATGACATTATGATAATGGTCAACCCAAAAAAGGCAAAAAGAGACAGTTTTCTGCTAACATCTCTGTTGTTTAATTCCTCATATGAGATGCATTAACTAGGCTGCACTCAGGGTTGCATCTGATAGCACACAGCTGTTTGCTCATTCACGAGCTTTGTGGATGTAGAATCTCTCCCTTGTCTGCCAACATGTCTGTGAACAGTGGTGTCAATAGATAATAATCTAAGAGCATGATGTGCTTCAGGTAGAAACTCAGGGGATTGTCTTTGGACCATCTTGAAGAGAATCTTTCCCTAGCAGGGGGCAGTAGTTGATACTTCAAAAGAAAGTACAAAAACCTTGAAAGCAAAGCAGTAGGATAGCTTACCCCCAAGAAGAGGTCTGTCTATCCATAGTGGAGATCAACTTTTTACATGCATAGCATGTCTTAGACTGGCTGTCCATGATGTCAGGGCATGCACCATTCACAGCACTACAAATATCACAACTTTTAACATTTAAAAAATGTTTAAAAAGTGTTTCAAGAGCTCAGTCACTTGGCGAGAACAAATAGAATTAGCCTAAAGGTGAAAAAAAAAGTGCAAGGACAAGAATGGAAGAGAATGACTAAGGTGAGCCAGAGACTCTGTAAGGATCCTGCCTGTTGCAGGACACCTGTATACACTCCCTTCTTGGGGCTCTGCTGTGAGGTGCTGATGCAGCTCCAAGCCAGTTGTGGAAAGCAAACTAATGCCAGACACAGATTTACGATACCATGTACATCAGCAAGCCAACAAACTACCCAAGTTGTTTGCAAACATCTACTGATTGCTAAATTGGACAATTACAAATCACCTATGAATCAATGTAAATGCCTCGTTCACACGTACACAGTAAACTTCATTTCTCATGCTATACAAGCTGCAGCAACCTGTTCTTTTAGTTGATAGCAGGCTGCTGGTGCAGAGTAGAGTCAAAGCCAACTGTTATTCAAAGGATGGCAGCAGCATTCAGGTGTTTGTGCCTTCTCAAAGCAGGGATTGATGTGTTTCCATCAGGCATGTTTCTGCTGCTGCTTAACCATTTACACAGTACACAGCAGGGATTTCCCTGGGCACTATTGCACCATTCTTGGAATGCAAACTGAGGTCCACAGTGCTGCGGAGCTCCAAGTGGAGGCACTGGTCCGTGCAGAACTGCCCACACCTCACGAGCCGTGGGGCCTCAACACCATTTGTTCAGATGTCTTTTCTCTTTGCCAAACTGTCCCCATTTAATGGCATGCATTGACTTGCTGGTACTGTCAGCTCAAAGATGTTTATGAATGCAGATATATTCTCATAAAACAGTCCTTAACAAATAGGAATAAAAACTGTATGTTCAATTTCAGCATTCACCTGGCTGATGTGGGGACGTTTAACTGAGAGCTGCTGGCAGCTGTGATGGCTTTTTGTCTTTGGCTGTACTCTGTTTTGGGTGTTCTGAAAGGGGGCTGTAATGGTGCGCTCACTTTATGCGTTATTAAGCTAATTTTACTTAGATTGTGTAATCTGGTGGCTGGGACAGTGACAGCGCGCAATTAGCTGAATGGAAAATAACAGAACACTATTACTGCAAGAATATTAGTAAAAGATTTGCTATTGCTACAGAAATTATCACTTGTAGACATATTAACTGTGTTTCTATGAGCTGTGTGAACAACTGCTGCTCTTCGTATCTGAAGCTGAGCCAAGCAGCCACTTCTTTACTTCAAAGCACTTACAAGGACTGAAGACCTTTCAAATACTGGGCACAGTGTTTTCCTGTCACTCAAGTATCCAGTCTCTACTTCACTCAGACTTCTAGATCAGGATTATTGTGACATTTACAGGAAAAAGAAAAGATTTATAAACCTTATCCATATTTACCAGTAAAACTAACTTTTTATAGCAGTTTTACAAATGCAGGAATGGTAGTCAGGGTGAGGATATTAAAAGTCACATTATTCTGTAGCTGTCAGCACTTCTTGGAAATAGGAAATGCAAATTAATCCTAAGTATTATGCCCCAAATCCTCTAACTTTTTCAGCGTAGAAAGAAGTAAGAAGCTATTAATCCTGTGGTTGCTTCCATTCACATTCCTTTCATCTTAGGGCACTGGATTTTCTGTCACTGTCTTCTTGCTGATGTATCAATAGAACAAAAATTTTGATTTTTGGCTTGGAAAAGATAAATTTGTTTCCATCTGATAGTTAAACACAATTTTTTAAATTTTGTCTCTTATTTGCTTCAACTTTGTGTGTAATTCTGTTCTTCTTGTGCAATCACAAAAAGTAAATATTTTGAAGAAGGATGAAGTAAGAATTTTTAAGTTGAATCCAGAAGGCTCTGGTAAATTGTTGGATATCAGGGAAGGGAGGTGGCTCAGCCTTCCAACTTCTGCAACACCAGCTTCTCTATGAGGTCTGATGGGGAGTCCCTGCCCCCATGGCTCTGCTGGGCTCACTCTGAGCAGCCAGCCAGTGTGGCCAGATGCACAGATCCATTTAAGCAGTTTGATTTTAAAGAAAAGAAGGCATAACCTGCCTTGTGTGATTTCATGCAGCATTACTTTAAGCTCTCAGTCTTCCTAAGAACTGCTTGCAGAGGAACTGGTGCTTGGGTGAGTCAGACCTACTGACCTGCCTGATGAGCTGGCTCCAGTTCTTCTCTGCAACTTAATTAGTGTCCCCTGTGTCTCAGCCAGCCGGAATGAGTGCACACACTGAGCTGACCACCTATGTTATGTGCCACCTGGTGCACACCAGTCTTTGTAGGAAATTAGGCAGAAATTATTGACTTTTAACAGCTCTGTTCCCCAGTTACTGATGTCATAATGCGTTCCAGCTTTCAGCATCTCCTCTAATTATGCAGAATGGGGATTTCTTGATACGAAGGGAATCCTGAAAATTGCAGGACCCTTTTTTGCTCACATATGCATGAACCCATATTCTGCAAAAAGTGGGGGAAAGGGAGTTCAGCAGGCTTTCTCTTATTTTAGAGGAAGTGTAGTTTGTCGGGTATTAGTGGGCCAATTTCTGTTCTGTTATGTCTACCAGTTTCGTCCTTAGGATGTGTGCATCACTAGAAGGTATACTATCCCACATAACATGCTAAAACCTGAATTTTGGAATAATTGCCAAAAGCTGTGAAGTTGTTTTATGTCAGAACAATAGCACGTGAGCCTTTTTGCTGATTCACAACCCCCTGGCAAACCTGCTCTTCTCATCCCCTCCACATACTGCAGTACGAAGCAAGCAGGTACTTCTGGTTTCCACTTTCATCTACAATTTAAGACCAAAAAAGACAGCGCTCAGTAAACAGCCAAAATAATCCTTTCAAAGTCAAGATTTCATTCCTATCTTTCTGGGTGCAAATCATAGCAGAGTCATGTGTTACTAATCCCCTCAGTACTGCAGTAGGTCTGTAGCAAGCTAATACACACCTCTCTAAGGTCCTGGAGGGGTTATAACACTATTCCTAGGCTAAAATATAATCTCCAAAGCAGTTTGATTCAAAATGAAAAAAGTCTTCTTTGCTTTGTTTCAAATTAACATCTCACAGGAGCCGTACGGTGGAAGTGCAAATAGTGAGTGCAAATAATGAACTTGTTCAGATCTCTTCTGCACTGGCATGGAAAGAACACGAGGCAGCAGATCCCCACGCCTAGGGCCCCGTTGTCCCACCTGTAGCATTTCATTACAATTCATTACATTATACTTCTACTGAATGCAGTGAACTCGAGTCTAAAATACAGAGAGGTGCCCAGGCTTTCAGATGCCCACTTCGCTCCAGTTACTCTGATCAGAAATGCTTCCCTCTCCCTCTACTTGCCTCTTCTATTTAAAGCAATTGTCACATTAATCAAAAGGTTCCTTTAGATGATCATCATTTAGTTAACTGCACAACTGTATGGCAATGATGAGTGCACCTCCCTGATATAATTTTCTTCAGTTGTCCTAAGGTTCCTTCATTTGTCTCTTCCATAGGTTTCCTGGCTACTCCAAATAAAAACACCTTCTTTCAGAAGATTCAGAGCAACTGCAGTGAGCTGGACTTCCAGAAGTACCAAACAGGTAACTGCCTGAGCAAATTCCCTCCTTTATGTCAGTGCGAAGAAAATGTACGTTGGATTTTGCATTCATAAATTATTTTTTTTCTGTTCGGTTTTAGATGTGTTAAGGAGAGAAAGATGAGAGCTTTAAACTTAAATACATGCATTTTATATACATGCATTCCTAGCCATTGGGTAAAAATTTTATTCACATGGCAAACGTCAAATTTTAAACACTTTCTACAGCAGGGCTTTTGAGTGGTTTTGTGTACAGGTGTGGGGCTGTGTCCTCCAACATCACAGCCTAACTTTGTGCCATATTCAAGGTTCATGTAATGCACTGTGGAGGTTCGTGATTCCTTTATGTTAGTTCCATTTCCTAAAACTGTATGAAGATTCTTTGTCTGAGAGTCATAAGGAGGCAAGAAAAACACACAAGCTGTAAAATGGTCCCTGTAAGTTAGGAATTAAAAACTATAGTTATATGTGAGGGTGGATTTAATTCTGCACTTGAGGAAACAACAGGCAACAAAATTTCTGCAAAAGCAGAAAGAAAACAACCTCCTGGCTCGCTCTGTGTCTAGTTCATTGCAATGCTACTATGGTTATTTCAGGAAGAAGAAAATAGCCTTCATAACCTCGAAATGGAACATTTTGCTGTGGCAATTGAGTGGGTTCCTTTGTTGACTCAAGCAGTTCTCATAAGTGTGTACATCTGATTATTTTCACCCAATACTGGCTCCTTTAATCCTTCTAGCCTTGGTGACTAATTTGTTTCTTATTGCAGTATTAAAAATGCTTTCTTCCTAACGAGAGATCACCATCTGTTGAGTCAAGGTACTTTTTCACTTTGCCCGTATGTCACAGATAAGTTATTTCTTGTTGGTTTTGATTTGGGCAGTTGAAACACAACGGCTCATTGAAAGGAGATACTCTGCAAAAAGATGTAGTTAGAAAACTATGTTGTTTTGTTTTTTTTTGTCCTTCTAAAATGCCTGTTACATTTACTTTCCAGTTGAAAATTTTCTCCCAGGATAAATGGTAAACTGAAATATTTGCATTTTATTTTGAAGAGCAAATTTCTAAATGAAATGAAATAGAATTTTTGTTTTAAATTCGATTGTAGTGTTATGGCGGTGTGTAAAGGAAAGCTGTTCTGACTGTTGGTGTGGATGTTCAGAGACATGAGTGTTACCTGAGACAGTCTGCATGGGCTGAGAATTCTGAATCATGGGCTGAGCCTCCCCCAGATCCCATGGCATGTGTGACAAAAGGAAAGGAGCCCTTCAGCAAGCTGAGTGATCTCCTAGGCATTTCTTAGGGAACTGAAATATCTGCAGGCTTTGTCGTCACTTAAAGGGGAGTGACAATTTGCTGTGTAATGATGAGTGAGGAAAAATGCATGTGGAAAATGGTGCATAAGGATTTGCAAAGAGTCAGAGCTGGGACATACTTGGGAGTTTATTGGGAAGAGCAAACCAGGCATTTGGGGTCGATGGTGACAGTTCAAAGTTAGCAAGAGGCTATGTAGTATTGCTCAGGAGCACTTTCATAGGGTACTGAGCATTTGTCCTAGCTTTGCACTCCTTGGCTTGTGAAAGTTTTGCATTTCACCAAGGCCAGCTTCTCCCCAGGAGTAACAACAAAATGAGAGATTTATAAGTTGAACCTTTCTGCTGCTGTGGTTTGCCAAATGGCCCCACAATTCCTCAACCTCACCTGGCCAAGCAGCAATGCAGGGTATGGAGGGCAGGAAGACATGACGGGGCACAGAAAGACACATGTGGGTGGTGGGGCTGGGGCTGGGCTTCCCCCCCTACACAAGGAAAGGCTGTTGGAAGCACAAGCTCCTGGGCAGAAAGGGAGAGATGTCCGAACCATCCTGGTCCATAATGTGTGACCAGGAGTTACTGGCATGGCACAGATGCAGCTCTCCTCTGGTGTTGGTTCAGAACGAGCTTTCTGACAAGGGATCACAGGTCCCCATTTACATAGGGGAGCAGAGGCATGACAGTTACTGCACAAGTGAGATGTGCCAACATGGGATGCATATCTTCTCTATCTGTATGCTACTGTGCACCAGAATTTCAGAGATTCCACATTTCAGAGAGTCAGAGGAAACATGGATTTTAGAGCAACTACTCAGCCTTTGAAACCAGAGAGGATTTTCAATAGTGAACTGTAATGAGAATCCTGAGTGGGCATGAACTCTCTTTAAAATCTGTGATGCTAGTAGAGTGGAAGAGAATATTACTATTTGGTTTGCTGTTATTCAATTATTTTTAAGCACCTTTTGTCAGATTTGTAATAAGAAAAGAGAAGGCAACTAGCTGTTAGGCATACTTTGGTGCTGTAAGTATCGAAGATCATTAAATGTCACTGGGAAAGTCCTGTTGTTACACTGATACTCTTTAGGAACGGATATTCTCTATTGACAGGATGCATTTCACATCAGATGCAGTTTGTAACTCATCTGCATTCAGTGAGGAGAAGGCAGACAGCCTCCAAACTTCCGTCCTTCTCTTTAAGCTATAATGTAGGTGGGCACAGTGGGGTCTGCTCCAGAAGCAGTAAGTGTTTGTGACACAGAGGAATCTTCCTGGGGAAAAGCATATTCTGATATTCCCCTCCACAGCACCAATGCTCTGGCTGTACTGCTGAGACCTCTACCAGCATGTTAGCAATGGTGAGTTAGGCTCATCTAAGTAAACATCAAAGATACCATCAGATTTGGCTGTGTGCTGTGCTTACCCTGTATCAGGCAGGGTTATTCTAATGCTGGAGGCCAGCACTGGTGTCTCTCATTCCTTTGCTAAGTGCTGTCTTCTGGCTGCAGGCTGGGGGGTGTTACTGCAAGGCAGCAATATCAGCATTTGTTACTCAAGTTGAGGAATTTGCTTCCAAAGAGCCTGACTGAAGCTCAGAGAAATGAATGCTAGTTTTCCAATGTCACTCACATTTAATGGTGCTGTAAAAAGAATCAGAATTAAGATTTCACTGTTCATCCTGTGGTAAATGTCAAAAGCAATTAAGAAAGGTTGAGGCTAAATAGGTGCAGAGATCACTTGCCTGAATGTTTCTGGGTGAGACTGATTTCAGGGGGATTCTGCATACACCAAAACATCAGTACTTATCCTGATACAGACGATATACAGCAAAGTATATCTTGTTTTCTTGTTGGTTTGTATTTATAGTTCCCTTCAATGTCATATTTGTGTGCCTCACAATCATCAGTGTTTCCCCTTACAACACTTGTTGGAAGGAAAGAAGTAATTGCATTCATTTTTATGTTATTATTTTACACACGGATGCATTTTTGCACAGGGAGGTGTCATGTGATTTGCAAGAAGTCATTCAGGATATTTCTTATGAAAGCAGTAGTTGGTGCTGGTTTTCTCATGCCAAAGACAAAGATTGTAATAATGAATTCATTAGTGACAGATGAAATTAAACAATAATTTTATGCACTATTTTTTCCCCAAACAGTTGTTCAAATATTTTGTCTTTTATAGAACCTATATGGAACAAAATGGGTAACTGAGGGGGTATCTCCTACTAGTAATATTACTGGAGTAGTGTCACATATACTCTTAATTCCATAAAGCTTCTTGAGACTGGCTTTTAAAATAAAAGGAAAAAGAAATGCCATTTTAGTGCAGAAGGTGACCTGTGAAAAGTCAAGGCTCAAGTCGAGAGACTTCTATATGCTGTAGGTCCTCTGAGCACTGCAGCTTTCGTCTGTCTAATTCTCCTTTCTGCACACATAGGCAGAGGTACGGTTCACATTAGTGTGGCTGCTGAGTTTTGGATTTCATTGGCTACATCACTGCAATATCCCTTTTGGTTTTTAATTTTCCAAAGGTAGCACACTGCTAAATGGTTTTCTTGCTCTGTTGTACTCTGTGACTTCACTGAAGTTGCTTAGAGCAACAGCATGGTGTGCAGCCCTACTGCTCTGGGCCTGGAGTTCCTAGGGCTGTACAAGTTTATTGACATACGTGCTCAGTTTGATAGAGAAAAATCAAAAACCTCCTATTCAGTATCTAAGGGGGGCTATAAGAAAAGAAGGGGACTGAATCTTTAGCATGGTCTGCTGGGATAGGACGAGGGGAAATGGTTTCAAAGTGAAAGAGGGCAAGATTTAGCTTGGATATAAGGATGTTTTTTACAATAACGGTGGTGAGGCACTGGAATAAGTTGCCTAGAGAGGTGTTGGATGCCTCATCCCTGGAAATGCTCAAGGTCAGGCTGGACCAGACTGAGCACTCAAAGGAGCTGTAGGTGTCCCTGTCCATTGCAGGGGAGTTGGAGTAGATGGTTTTCAAAGGTCCCTTCCAATTCAAATGATTCCATGATTCTGTGTTTTCAAGTCTAGGCTTTTGTTAAGCTTTCATTAAAATTAGGTGGCAGCTGTTCATGATTACAAACAGAAGATCATAGAAAATAGTGCCAGAGGGGCTGAGCATTGCTGGTCTGCCTGCAGTGGAAGTTATCCCCAAGATAAACTAAATCAGCTGTGCTTAACCAGTGCTAAAAGATGCTTAGCAAATCTGTCCATAGAAATAGCCAACCATCAAAGCTCCATGGTCTGTCAGGACTTTTAAAAGAAATGACCATTTTTATAATAATTTCTGCTTTTATCACCCTGCAATTATCTCCTGATGAGGATACCTGGTGTGCCTCAGCCGGGAGCTGAGCAGACCTCTGGGCTGCCCACAGTGCGTCAGCAGCAGCTCTGCCATTCGGAACAGGATGACAGAGGGACAAAGTTTAACTCCTGGTTCCATCATACTCATTTTAATATTAAAGTCCATGCATCCGGAAAGCAACCCCAAGCCTGCAGCCTGGCAGCTTCTTCAATCTTTCTCTTTCAAAAAAATTTCCTACAAAACCACAAGCCTGTACATTTACAAGCTGATTACACTCCCCTACCCTCAACTCTGGTGCTGACAAAATCCTCTGAAGCTTAATTCTGATTATTTGCACTTCCTGAGCCATCCGCGAGTGCTCTGTGGTTTCGCT